GTTAAATGTATTGTACTGTATCTGAATGACGGTAAAAAAATAGATTGTAGTTTTTATACAGTACTCAACAACAACATGAAATTAAATTTAAATTTTACACAAATTAATAATGATTCTGAAATGAGGTAGTAAGGCATGAGAGGCTCAAGATAAAAAGGATCATCATTAACCATAATAACTTGCTTTCAGCAAATAAACAGGTCATCAAGGTAGGTAACTAGTAGCCGACATGATACTTCACAAGTTTAAGTGTTGAGAATGGATTTGTGCTTCATTCATTACTTGTAGAAATGCCTAGGGTAGACCAGTGGTGTGAAAATATTATCTGGTTCACCTAAACAACTAACTATATTGGGATAAGGCTCAACCACACACACACACATATAAATCTCCTTAAATGGGTTATCTAACAGGCAGCAATATTTATATATGTCACTTTTCTCAGTACAGTATGGATATCATAACTCAATATTTTTCCATGTAGTCAGTACAGTATGTCGATAAAATAGTAACTCTTACATTTTCACTTTTATAACTCTAATCCAAATGCTCCATAAATATGGACATCTTTATAACATGAATGAGCCTCATATTCTACATAGTTTACATCAATCACAAATTTCATCATACATGTACTTGAAATATAAAATCAACACAGAATATGATATAACCAGCATTTCAAAAAAGTGAATAAACAAGACATATGTACCCGTATCTCAAATTTCTCACTAGTACACCAAGCACTGATTTTTACTCGCCAATATAAGTTAACAGGCATGTCAACATTCACTAAATGTGAGAGGTATAGTCACAGTTAAGCCACACCAAACTTAACACAGAAAAGCTCTCAATGAAAACATGACCATTTGATATATTTTATGATTTGTAATAAATTTGGAAATACAGTATTAGTGGATTTCTTTCATAAATGTCTTCACTATGAATAAATCTTTTTAATACAGGCATCCCTTGAGTTAAGGAAATTCACACTACGTACTGGAACCTGAAATGAATTTTGAGATATGGAAGAAAAATTTGTGTTAATGGAAAATCTTCTGTAAGTTTATGGAGTTAAAAAGTTGGAAAAAAAAGAGAGAAGAAACCTAAATCTTCCCAACCTCCAATATTTCATTTAACTTAATGCAAAATAAAATACATAATACAGTACTGTACAGTATTTTATATAAAGGCATTTAAGTTACCTGTTAACTAAAATGACCATTATTGTAGAAAGTGTTACAGCCATCTTGGCTGATAGGGATGGTACAGGAAGGCTGATGTTACATCGTCACCGTAGGTGCTGCTCTGTACACTTTTTCAAAAAATAAGCAGAAATTTTACAATACCCTGTATAGCAAAATAATTTAATTTTTTCATAAATTTTATTTTTTATCAAATATTGTATGATTTTAAAAATATTTTCTATTATATTTTACCAAGTCTTAAGAGGGCAGATTTTTTAAATTAAGTCATGCTTTGGTGGCCTTTGTTTTGTATATCAGAAAAAATAAATGCAGAAAGTTACATATGTCTACCTGAAAATATGAGCTGAAAAACAACAGCTTGTCCCAGTAGCCTGGTAACAGAGACGAGTCTAACCTGACTACAATGCCGCCAGCAATGTTAACAGATGTAAATGTGAAAATATAGTTATCTGTAAATTTTCATTTGTATCAGGTATTTGTAGATTTAAAAATAAATGTTGCAGGTATGGTATTAACAGATTGTTGCTTGTAAGAGTTCAGAAATGGCTACTGCTGAGCTACCTCTGAAGACTTGGGTGTCTGCCGTTTATCGTCTCGGGTTATTGTCATCAGTACACTACAGAGTAGTTTATATCGACATTTTATATTTACAATTATTACTAATAATGTTTTTAAGTAAGCAATAACATATTTTTAATTCTGGTGTTGGGTTAGATAGAATTTAAACTACTGGAGACAGCAACTGGAGGATTCATTAGCTTGCTGGGGACAGCAACTTCACATATAGGCTGCAGGCTGATGTTTAGCCATTTATCAGACAAAAATGCGAGTCTTATAAGCCGTAAGATACGGTATACAAAATTACAATTCGTAAAATAACCATAACATAACTCCCCAGCTCATCCTGTTAACTCTTCCTGGTGCATGAAAAACTGTTTATTCCCATTATGTTTTTGACCTTATGATAATTGTTTCTTATCTTTCTTTTTTTTTGCACATTCTGTATGTTGTATTGTGTGAGTATGTGAGTAAAAAAATATGAAGAAAGTTTTGTATACCTACCAGAAATTAGAAGTTGAAAAGTAACCATAACATACCTCATACCTCAGCCTGGTAGTGAGAGGGTTAGGGGCATGTGGATGCTCCAGCTGACTCCAGTGAGTACCTTATTTAAATTTTCTGCTGTGACCCAAATTCGCATACGCAAGGGAAACTTTCGTAGCAGTAAAAAGAGGTGATAATTTACGAAATCTGTAAAAGTGAATTTTCATATCTCGAACATTTGTATAGCAAGGGATACCTGTATTGTCAAAAGTTTTGAAAATATTTTGATCTACATACTGAATCTATTCAGCCTTACATATCTTTTTTCAGAGATTTTAAAATAATTTTCTCCCACTTGGTGTTTAAATAGTGTACAGTACTGTAACTCTGGTTCCTGACTACATCCATTACAAGTACGTACGGTAATATACTTATAGTTTTAGCATTTACTCGTACCTTTACAAATTCATCTATACTGTACAAAGTACATACCCTTTTCCACTTGTTATATTGACATGTTCTTTTGTACTAATTTTTTATTTTGTTAATGATCAATAAACTCTTGTGGAGGAAAACTTTTCCAAGTATTAAAGTTTGCAATTTGTCCTTCCCACAAAAAGTTTTCCATTTCCTCTTACAGGCATTATTGGTTAGTACTCATTACCTCACTCATGTATAGTTAGTCATTCCCATCTCAACATCTAAACAGGTTAGTCTCTCATTTATAAAAGTAACTCATAAGTACAGTCATTCATTCATCATAATCTTTACTCATCTCTAAAGAAATTTACAATTACTAATCCTTTCCCAAGCATTTACCAACAGTCACTTATTTTTAGTGTCTAGCTTCTTTCTACATCATCAGTATTTGAATAGAATGACAATGCTGATATGCAATCAAATCATCATCTTACTCTCAAAGTATTCATATGACTCTAGCACCTCCATACCTCTATAAAGAATGTCAATGAATACAGCAATGACACAACGCATTCAGGACTTAACCTATCCAGTAAAACTGTAAATTAAGCCTTAAGTCTGAAGAAGAATGTGCACATCACACTAGTGTTCCATGTGATACTTCAGTCAGGGATTTTTTCTTCAAAGGAGAGGAGATATACAGTACAGTATTCTTACTAACAAGTGAGAGGTAGAGGTCTGTAAAATAATATATACCTGTACTAATGTTAAAAAAAAATTAATAGATATAAAAGATCTCTCAAATAACTTGCTGGTCAGTAGAAAAGATAAATTATCCTTACTCAAATACTTAAAAAATAAACAAAAAGAAACCAGTGCAATCCTCACAGTGTTTAAGAGTGCAAAAACTTGTACCGTATTATTATGATTTGCACGAATCATTATACCGTATCTAGCTAAATATACTATATGTAGCCTACCTTGTACTGCTATGGTTTCATAAGATGAGACTCCTAGTGCAAATCCTGAGTGGCATGATGGTATGGCAGGCTGCTCTCTCTGGTATGTGCAGAGTTGGCTTCTGTTATATCAGCTCCAATATTAAGTTATTTCTTCTTGACCAGATGAAGGAACCTCATTCAATGAGATATAAGATAAATGGATGCATGTCATTTGTTTTCTATCACTGAAGAGTCTCAGTGAATATCACTGTATGTAGAGTCCCCCAAATAAAGTATCATTAGATATTCTGTCGTGAAAATTTGAAGTGCGAGATTTAAAGCTTTGATATGACCCCCAGTGCATCATCATAAATTGGTATGCCTGCTCGCCATATCAGCAACAGCTAGGTTTGAAGTATAGGAGGAAGTTGTCCTTGTATGGCATACTAGATACTTCAAAATAACAAGAATTCCATTAAGCTATATTAATGTATGTATTGTGCTGGGTAGAAGCAAGGCATATGTAAACAAGCCACTGACTGATGATTACAATAACACTGAAATATACATTAAATGGAAATGTTTTGGAACATCATTAATGAGACTGAGACAGACCTCAAAACAGACATTTCAACCATTATGCCATTGTACTAACGGAGTTTCATTTATATCGAGTTTCACAATATGCCTATTCATGTTGTTCAGTATATGTCTGATTTAAGAAAAATGAGTAAGTAAATAGTTCTTGATATTAGATTGAACTGTTTCAGCAATACACAATATATCAGTCTACATGAAATCTACCACGTTACTGACTTATAAATTGCACTAATTTAACACCAAAATAAGGTTTCAAATCAAGACGACTTGCAGGCAACAGAACTTAACACTCCATCCACCTATAGTAAGACATTTGTGGTCGTAAGTTTCAGTATGGCACCAGTTGCTTCATGGTGCCTAACCCATCATGATACCGTGGGTTCGTTCACCCTAGTTCGCCGTGCTATCTCATTGTTACGTATACCCTCATTGTGAAGGGCAATAATAGCACCTCTCTCATTTTGCATTGTCTCCACAATAATTTCTCGCTCCATTCGATGTAAGATCCCGTTGATGACTGGCATGGCATTCGTATCCATTTATGACATCCACTCCGAGTCATGTAATATATGATCTGAAGCCTTGGAGTGTACACACCGTTCAAAAATGTATACAGTCAGTCCTCGACTTACGACGGGGTTAGGGACCGACGACTCGAATTGGTCGTAAGTCAAAAATGAGAAAATAATAAATAGAAAATCTAAAATGGGTGTCTCTTTTTCTTCCCAGCACCACGAGAACTCTCACTTTTACGCTTGCCAGCCATTTTAAATGGAATTACAAACAAACATTTTGTCAGGACACAGCGCGATCACTAATGTCGGGACTCGAAAATATGTAATTTGAAAAATATTTTATACGACTGCGGCGGTCGTATGTCCGGGTGGTCGTAAGTCGAGTAGGTTGCAAGTCGAGGAGTGCCTGTATACTCAATCATGATCAAAGGTCGCGGATGTAGAACTACCAACCTTTCAGAAACAGGTCGAGTAACATTGTTCAGAAAGACTTGAATCACATTGACCCCCAAGGCTAACGATACTTTTTTGGGGGACTGTACTTACATACATATTCAGTTTAATCAATGATAATAATCAATCCTATACTGTGAAATAAGAGATGACTGTTACATATACCACCATCAAAATACATATTTCTATATAAACCAGAAGATATATTAAGTATCACTACTATTTCATCCATACACATAAAATATAAGTAATGTATGTCTACTTCTTGATGTGATGACAAAATGAATAAGGCGTGAACAGTTATAAATAATCTTACTTTTAACTAAATGTCTAAACACACATTCATCATCATCCTTCTACTTTTAATCAAATATAAACAAGTCTTTACATATTTACAGAATCTTGTAGCACACTCTTTGGGACCATTCAAAAGTACGAAGCCCTTGTTTAATCATTTTGTCACCAATGAATTAAACTATTTACTGCAGACATACTCATGTCTTTTAGAAAAAAAATGTTTTTGGTATAAACCAAACAAAATACCTTTAAAGTTATTCATCTTCCCTATCTAAGCTGTGATAATCCTCTTCATTATCAGTTAACAGGAAGTCAACATCTGAGGTAACATGGAAGACAGGAGATGATGCTGTATAATCTACTATTGTTTCCCCAACATCAATTAACTCTGCGTCATCACTGGCTAAAGAAGCAGAGTGCCCAGTCACTTGGCCATTTGCTTTGTGAGCCAGGACAGATGGACTGCGGGACGGAAGCAGGAAGACAAGAGAGAGCGCGATGACAACATGCCAGGTGCTGTGTACATACTGTAAAGAAGAGTTTGCATATTTTAGCAATGGAATGGTGATAGAATAGAAAATATTAAATCCTAAATAAAGGTTTAATCATAAAATCCTATCTTATAACAGAGCCAATGATGCGCCAGATTGACTCGCGCAAAATAGGAAAGATTCGCTTTAAATTAAAACAATGTCCTTAATTGTGGGTGTCGCTTTAAATCAATAATCTTAAATTGAATTGCTTTAAATCGATGTTCTACTGTATTCATTTGGACTGAAATTTAATCAAGAAAAATCACAAATCAAGAATCAAAGAATGAAATCCCATGTTATATCTGGCGTAAAGAAACAAGATTACTTTACCAGGACCCCTCCTGGTAGAGTCAACCTACTCCAGGTACTTCTATGTAGAAGTAGGTAAATGGTCCAGTCAGATAAAAAAAAATTGCTGCATATACAGGTAATACTTCTTACCCCAATAAACCAGTTACCAAGAAAGAGTACCAGAGGTGTACCTGTACAGGGTGCTCTCACTATACTGTACGTACATTGGGTAATGTATGAGCTGGCGTCTACCACCAGAAGTTGTTCGATTTTGTTCATTTTTTCCATTGATGTTTTTTTATGAAAGTTTTATGCTATTTATTGTGTTTTTACCTTGCATTATTTTATTTTAGTGTTTTAAACCTTAATTTTAATTCAGCAACATATGACCTAAGCTGTTGCATAGCCAGGGATGTAATTACCACAATCAATCAATCAATCTTATCATTATATTAAGTATGTTAAGAGGTGGCAAATGCTATCACTGGAAGCTGGCGCCATGAGCCATCTCTTGGCAGTCACTGCTACCGCTGGTTCTCACAGACCCGCCGCTGTCCCATGATAACCCAGATCAATCAGTGATAAGCGTACACATGGTCGCAATTGAGGATACTGTATCGTGATAAACCAGATCAGCAATTATCGGGACCCGTGATTATCAAGGATACATGTACATGCACACACCATCCTACATTCATATTGTAAAAAAAGTAAAAGAAATAATTGTCCTAAGAGCAAACACATGAAAAGAAATATACATTTCTTTGCACACGAGTTAGCTGGCTTAGTGGGGGAGCGGGAGGACGGCTGGGCGGTTGGTGGGGAGGGGAGTATTGCTAGGTAATAGGCGAACGTAGCGTCACCGTTACTATGATAAACAGGAAGTATAGATGTACCGCATATGCAAATGGCGACTGTTAAACTTTCATTTGGCTTTTATTTACTGGTTTGGCAATAAAGTATTTTTTGTTGGAACTTATTTATTGTTATTATTTTTATTTATTCTATTCATCACATTTAGTGGTATTGTATATATTGTTTTAAGAAAACTATGGCTACAGGAGGAAAATACACACACAAAATTTTCTTTTCCTAAATACTCCTTGGTAAATTGCCGTAAATTGCCGTGCGCCTTATATACCATAAAATACAGTAAAGTTATATCCCTGTTAGCCAGAACAATTGGTGCAGAACACTTCCGAGGATGAGAGATTTCTGGGTAACAAGACGACTTTCTCAAACCCGGAAAAATTCCTTATCCCCCGTAACCTTTTCCGGTTACTGGGAAAAGTTTTTGAGTGTCTAAGCGAGACCTCTTGCACAGACGCACATTAGCCCACCTCCCCACAACGTTTCTGGGTGCCGGAGATGTTTTCCTCGAGAATAAACTACTGGAATCCTTAAATACAGTTCTAATTAAATTAGAAACTTAATTTCTTTACTATAATAATCCAGAATAGTTTATCTAAAAGTTTGGTCTAATAAATATATTTAAAAATTATAAATCTACAGGATATAGGCATGAATGAAGCTGTGTGTTACAGCAAATACTGTTATTTTCCACTCCCATGGAGCTGTGGGGGATTAGTGGGTCTTGTGTAACTGACCTGACCTGATGCAATGTCATGTGGAGGTAGAATGGGGGATTAGCAGTCTCATATTACTGATCTGATGGAATGTCAGGTTACCCTTTCTTGGGTGAAGGATTAGTGGGTCTCATGACCTGAAGACGTCTTGAATAAACACGAAACCTAAAATATTTTTAGAGATATTATGGTAAGTACAGATATAAGTATAAATGAGCAAAGATGTCTCCCTTCAACATTACGTTACATAACATTTTAAAATATGGAGTGAGGAAGCAGAAAAGTGTAGTAAATAGAGAGATGGAGTGGAAATGAGTGTTGCCAAGTGCTCCTCAACAGCTGATATTTAACTCACTACCATGCAGTCACACACAAGCAGATGAGTCTTAATTCCCTTGCTGGGGGTGTGAGTGGTATTGGGGAGTGTGTGGTTGTTGGAGGGTGTGTTTGTGTGTGATGTAGGGGTGTATGTGTGATGTGTAGGTGGTGTTGGTGTGTTGATGGAAGTGAAACCCTTTTGGGGGGAAGGGTTTCGTGGACAGTTCCCCTCCCCCCTTCCTTGCTCAAACATGGCTAATTGTGATAGGGAGATGAATTTGATACAATAATGATGCTTAATAAATTCTATACCAAATGGTTCCAATAAGATATCCTTAAATAAAATATTTCTATATGATATAGTGATGTAAATTCCATTCTTTTATTAAAAAAGAAAAAAAGTAAGAAATGTTGATACCGGAGTCAGTAAAATCAGTTCTAATTTCGTTAAACACCCCATTTTCTTATCAAATAATCCTGAATACTTTATCTAAAAGTTTGGTTAAATAATATTTAAAAAACAAAAGCTATATATGATACAGGCGTGAATAGAGCTGTGATACTTTTATCCTCTTCACCACTGATCGGCTCATTAGATGCTTGGGCGATCGGTCACGTTTCTGTTACACACTTCACTCAATTGACTGTAATACATAACTAATCATGTCTTAACACTTGTGATGAAGGTTGGGTGGGAGATTATTGGGTCACGTTACTAACCTGACCTGATGTAACGTCAGGTCACCCAGTGTTGGGTGGGGGATTAGTGGGTCTTATGACCTGAATATGTCTTGAATGACATTATTTTTTACCTATGAGGTATATACATAGTACTATACTGTATTGTATATGAAGGGTACATGTATTAATAAGCACAGATTATTACAGTAATGTACTGTACCTGTACTAATTAATGAAAAACAAATATTATTGTATCATGAATGAGTCCGTACTTTAGACAAACAGTGAGGGGAGGGGGGTGGTGCTTATAAAATGTCACCGACTTGACTTAGGAGAATATAACTTGCATTGGTGGAATTATAATTGTAAGATAGCGATTAATTTGAGTATAAATATCCCTTATTTTGCACCATATATAATAATTTTAGTAATAATTTAGTACATTTGAGTACAGGTTGTGATAATTTATGTGGTTGTAGTTTCAAAGCTTTGTGACATCACTAATGTATAATGAGTCTCCATATGCCCTGGTTTATTCATTGATCAGTTGTCTAAGTCCAAAAGTAGTCCTATTGAGTTATCATGTATCAATTAATTAATTTTAAAATATAAATTATAATGTAAAATGTTATAAGACAATGGTTTAGTAGTGCTGTTAATGTGTGCTGTGTAAGTGTCTTGGCATGTCACCTCACCACCTGACTCCTGAACAAACTCTTCATCAACTTCTTCAAATCCTACAATGTGCTTGGCAAGCTAAAACACACACAGGAATTAAGACAACAAGCATCCAGTGAGGGTTTTGTTGTGTGACTACATGGAGGCGAATTAAAAGATCAGCTGTTGAGGAGCTTATCGCCTGGCAACACTGGTGCATGTTACCACTCCTTTCCACTCCATCTCTCTCATCACCCATACCTCTTTGCTTTCTCACTCCATATTTTAAAATGTTATGTAATGCTGAAGGGATACAACTTTGCTCATTTATACTTATACTTATCATAATCTCTCTAAAAATACTTTAGCTTTCGTGTTTATTCAAGAAATTTTCAGGTCATGAGACCCACTAATCCCCCCACCAAAGAAAGGGTGACCCGACATTCCATCAGAAGGTCAGTATATGAGACCACTAATCCCCCACCCTACCTCCACCTGCCATTGAGTCAGGTCAGGTCTCCCCAAAAAATAATTGCATCTTTATTCAAAACACTTTCAGAAAATTCTCTTGATTTTCAACCTTGGAAAATTGTTCCTAAAGCTGGAAATTTTTGGAAAATTCCAGCTTTGGGAATGATTTTACGAGTAAATTTCAATTCCGGCTATCGGAGATTTCTGGGTTTGAGGGACTCCGGCTAACGGAGCTATTACCTTAACTTTAAAATAAGAAAAATTAAAGAGCGGGAAGTGAATTGTGTGGGATAGGTAGGAGCATGGCTAGACAAGTCCCTCCTTGATCCAATTAACATGACAATACTGTAGGCTCTTTCCAGAGTGAGGAATGTTACAAATGGAGACAACGAATTGAAATACTGTATTCTCAATTATATTGTCAAAAGTAAGCAATAGAAACAAATGGCTCTTGCAATATATATTACCAACACTTCATGCTACATCATAACACTGTTGGATTGCTTCTATGTTTTAATTTAGATTTTATATAGATTTTTAAATGTTGAGTGAGAAACGTTACTGCGATGTTACCTCTCTAGTCACTTTGCATCAATCACTTCAGTAATTCTGTGATTGAATTAGTTCAATTAAGGAATGCTTCATATCAATAATAAGTCAATTGATAAAGATAATAACCATACCCAGCAGATTTGATTATTCCTGATAACCATTATGCCATCACACATGTTACCGGAAAAGCGAGGAATGTTATTTGTGCGATATTTACTGACTTATATAGTACTGTATACAATCAACTATTATTACTGTTAATGTAATTGTAAGTATGAAAAACATAAAAGAAATTTGTACTAATGTAAAATTTACATAATAAACAAACCACAAGACAATGCTTGTTTAAATTACATCAACATAAATGATGTGTGTATATACCTATGTTACAACTTTGAGAGATGTACAGTCAGGGACACAAGTTGGCTCCCTGTGGTGAAACCGAGTCATGGGAATGAGTCTCCGAACTAACTTACCCCGACTGTCATCTGGTACAGGTGTGCTGTTTTATCTCATCTGGGGTCGATACTGCTTCAGTTTAGGAGGGAGCCAACTTTTGACTCAGGGTGTACATATTGATTAAAAAATAAATAAATTCTAGTTGATGGAGGATGGAAAGGTTACCCCTTTGTTGTAGGTAACATTCTTGATACTTCAGGAGTTGGCAAAGCCTGCACAACCATTTCCTCTGCTATTTCATCTCTGTCTGGGTTATCAGGGAAATGAAAACGAATATGACCCAATCGACCTCTGCACATGTTTCTGAGGTAATTAGCATTGATTCATGTCCTCTTCTGTCACTGACTCCATAACTGCAGCATAATGTTTAGAGAACTTTTTGGTTCTATAATGAACCAACAAAATTTCCGGATGCTAGTTTTGGTGTTGGCTCAGCGTCAGTAGACTCAGGTTGTGACATGAATGACTCAGACATGTGTGTAAGAGATGGTGTATTTTCCCTATCACTACTATTACTGGAATAATTTTGTGTGTCAGTATCTAGTAACCCATACTCAAGATGCTGAAGATAACATTGTTTAAATGATGTTTGACCTGCAGTGTTGTGATACAGTGAAACTTTATAATGGCCAAGAGGTTTAACTGATCTGCACTGCTGAATGGATTTTGTGTAGTATCTTCGTTGTCTTTCAGCTGGTGTCATTGGAGACATGATGGAACTGAGTACATTATATATGCTCAGCAGATAATCAATTTAGTCAGGAAAAAATAAAACTATCAGGTAACATGCCTAGGGGTGCTGGTGGTAGAGTGGTACCGCTCTTGCCTTCGCAAGCGAGATGTCACGGGTTCGATTCCCGGGCCGGTGGAAGTTGTTTGGACATACTTCCTAGCCCCCATTAGTCCCTGTTCACCTAGCAGTAAAGTAGGTACCTGATGTAAATCGAAAGTTGCGAATTCGTATTCAGGGACAAGTTGTTGGAGCTTCCAATAACTTGATGACATAAACCATCGACTCTTCAGGCTTCTATGCCCTTAACTCATGAGACATAAAGGCAAGCATGAACTTAGCATGCTTCCCTGTTGGGCACTGTAAATGCTTCTGTGCTTCACCTTACACAAGGATGTAGGGGAGTGCCCAATAAATAAAAAAAAAAAAAAAAAAAAAGTTAACATGCCAAATTACAAATACAGTACAATGAATTTGTAATGTAATGTATTTACAATTCAGTTTAACTCCTGTGATTTCTTATTTAAACCTGTGAGTGAAAAACATTACACCTTTATTGGTAATGTTCCTCACTCTGTACATGTAACATGCATGATGGGCATTATGGCATACCTGAGTCTCATAGAAAATATCACAGGGCTACATTACTCAGGTACTAAGATGCTTATTTATAATACAAAGTTATGTTCAATTTCTCCAATTCATAAGCTGTGTATGGGAAAAAAAAAAACGTCACAAGCATTATTCCCGAAGTACAGTAATATCTTCATCAGCCGGAATCCCTCAAACCCGGAAATCTGTGATTGCCGGAATTGAAATTTGCTCGGAAAATCATTCCCAAAGACAGAATTTTCTAAAAATTTCCGGCTTTAGGAACAAATTTTTGCCTCGTTCACCTGTTTGGTTTTATTTATTAATAATTGTATTCCCGTATGATCAATCTATTATGGTGTGTTTCATATAACATATACCTACAGTATTAAATAATAGAACAAAAACGATATATAATTTGATTTCAAAATAAAATGGCAGTACTACAGTACATGTACAATGAAAAAATATTTTTTGGTTCTTAAAAAAATCAGTCAGATTATATATGAGGTAGGCAAATACATAAGTAAATACAGTAAATTGCAAATGAAGTGTAAAAGGAAATGAACAAGGGAAGAAAGCTGATAAGAGAAAGCCGTGTTTTTTCCAAGTTATTGCTAGGCATTAACATACCTAGGTATAAGCTAGGCGTCGCATTCTGGATTGAACAAAAAGTAAAATTTACAAAGAACTTCACAAAGAAATTTTCAAGGTTTGCAATATGGCTTAAGATGCAATTAGATACATGATGATGACAGGAGATACAACTGCAGGGAAGTGCACAAAAGTATAAAAAGAAATAAACCAGAAAAGAGGAAATGAATGAAATGGGAATATAAAAAGCAAAAATAAAAATAATGTCTTGTTTGAAGCAGAAGGAAAAAAGTAGGTAGAGTATGCAGAAGTATACAATGATATCAACAGAATGGAGATAATATACAGGAAGGAAGCAGACATCAAGCTACCAATTATGGAAAATAAAGTTGAACCAGTGGTGATAACAATAAAAAATTATGAGGTCCTTTGGTACCCTTGCTTTAGAAGCAACTACCAGACTGGGATTGAGACCCCACATTGTCAACCCCTATTTGACTGACTGAGTAGAAGATTATGCAGCAATTTGCACTGACCTGACAATATAGTACAGTACAGTACTGTACATCTGGCTCTGCCAGGAAGTGTTCCAGTCACTTTTTGAATGACCCACAGACTATAAAAATACTTACTTTATAGTTATCCTTGGTTTGTATGAGGGCAAACATTATAAGGCCTATAAGAGCAAGACTTATACCAATACCACGGTACAAGAACTGCCTTGGCTGAACGGAAGGCCAGGCACCCTTGTGCCACCGCTGGTACACAATGTGGCAAAGCTGTAAAAAAAAAAAATTTAATTTGTTTTCTAATCTTTCCTACCACATTAATGATATATCCAAGACTCTGTTATCAGTAAAGTACGAAATAGGGACCACATGAGTATGTAAGACACATCTACAACAAAATGAGCTTAATAATATCAAAGCCAAGAGATCCCTTAAATCATCTAATAAATGATGATGATGATGATAATGGTGGAAACTGATGCTACACTATTTTATGCAATACTGTTGAGCTTGAAAAGGAATTAATATACAGCATTAAAAAATTTATATTGTTCAGTGATTATTACATATTGAACATTTAATTCTTCACATTCTAAGATAAAGCACATTTGCAATGATCTGGCTTGAATCAGTGAGAACTACTTGCTTCATGTACAAATGGTAACAGAGCCTCTAGGCCTAAAGGTCATTGGTTTGCACCAAGAGTACTCTAAGTTTTCCTTGCTGTGAATGATTACCTAACTTTACAGTTGGAGAAAACAAGACAGTTGAGTACAGTGTGGGCCAAAATACTTCCTTTTTTATCAACGGCTTTGTATACAGTTTGCTGTAAATAAACTGCCCCGAACAGGTCATCAGGGAACTACTTCTTAACTTGATTATTCATTATTTCTTTATATTTACCACTGAACACCACTTGTGCTTCCAAGGATCAAATTTAATGTGCATTATCCGAGGGATCTCTAATAAAATGATCTTTAAGTTTACCTCAAGAATAACTAATTGGTAATACAGTACAGTATATGGCTACTTGGATACATACAGGTACAGCAGTTGCAACAGCCATGGGTACAGTAAATGATGCGAGGGCTGTTCGGCTGTATTGGACGGCTGGAGCAATAATAATAACCCCAAGAGTATGAAACAGCGGACAAAAGGCTTCGTCCATGCCCCCAAGGCCAACAACTGTCACCCAGAAACAAAGTAGTGAAAAAAAGAAGTCTGTGAACTGCAACACCTCATATTTAGTCACACAGTATGACACAACCTGCAAAAGAGAAAGTATTTAGTCATACTTAAGATAAAATATGTAGACAAAATTGATGTGCTCGAAGCCAGAGTGACAAATCAATCAACCCCTGGATTTCTGGGTTTGTGTTTGAACATATCGGCCAAGTGTTTCTCTTCCATATCAGATGGTAAGAGAGGGGATATTCGTCTTAGCATAAGAGCCAGATTCCTGTTGAAAAGGTACTGCTTCCTGACCTTAAGGGCTGACACCTGGATGAGCTACCGAGATGGAGTCACCAGAGCCAGACTGACAAATCTGCAGGCAAATATAACCAACCTGGTGTGAGAAATGGTGTGACATCAGGTGCTCAGCCAATTATTTACACAGTAATATCATACATTAATAATAAAGATTATTTATATTTTATTACAGGTGCTGATTTAATTTAAAATTTTAACTTAGACCCGACCAATTAAATCTTTTTTCAAACCTGTATACCCTAAAATTAAATAAATTTCCTATCATATGAGACCCAAAACATGAAAATCCTATGGTATGCAAACTTCAAATGGCTCCAGCTCAAAACTTGATTCATTTGTCACTCTGGCTTCAAGTACCCCAATTGTCTATTTCCCTTTAACAATATTTTTTTTTACTATGTAAAATGTATGTGCAAAATTTCAAATATGGAGCTGTTCTACATATTATGGACACAGTACAGTATTTAAACATATACAGCATACAGTATTGCAAAGAAAAAAAATAATTATCTTGTTCAAATTCATCTGGTGATGACAGATTCATATTGTGTTATCAAGCTAATGGCACAGCAAAGTATCCAAAGAAGATGAAAAAGAATAAATACAGGGCTGCACAATGACTGATACATCTCATACATCTGCACAACACGATCTCACCTTTCCAAGGAATTTATTTTACAGCGCTGTATGTTAACACAAGGAAAACTCAGGTTATTAAATTTGAGGGATTAGAAAGTTTATCCAACTTGAACATTTCAGCAGGATGAAAATTCCATTACCAAGAATTAATTCTTTTCAGAATTTTCAATCGATTTCATATTTGAACTGGCTAACATGTTAGCAAAACCCTACCCAAGGACTCATTAGAGTAGAATCCCAGTTATCCAGCAGCTATGGGGATTGAGAGGTGCCGAATAAAGAGATTTTCTGGTCAGTTGACCATCACTCTTAGCATCCCCAAATAAGTTCTACAATGTACAGTGTTACAGCCTAATCTTGCAAATTAGTCTCAGATAAATGGATTTCTTGAACACTCATTCCACTCTATATAAATGATGTAGCTTACAAATAAAGAGAATATAATATAAAGCTATAAAATAAGAAAAATTAAGAGCATGGGTGTGTGTATATGAGGAAAGTGAATGTGTGTGGAGGTGGTGGCCTATACTGCGTCACTGACTCGCCAGCCCAGCTGCCGCATTTACTGTTATACGCAATGAAACTATAAAAGTTGTGGAAAAATCATATAATACTCTAATGTGGCTTATAAAAAAAGAAACTACTGTATAATAAAAAAGAAAGAAAAAGAGGATGGGTGTGAATGTGTGTGGAGGCGGTGGGCTATTACTGTGTGGCCTCACTCCCTCCTGATGTGACGTCATGGCAAACACACAGCTCAGTGCGCCAGCCACACGTCTGTGAGTCAGCTGGTTGATTGTCTGACTGTAGTCGGTCGCATTGCCCAGAGGATGGTTTGAGTGTGGAAGGAGCTATTTTTTTATACATAAAATATGTGCTTCTGTATTTTATGATGCTATCTAAAAATATTATTGCTTATCATAGCAATAAATAAGGCAGCTCAACCTCATTATGCATGATATTTAAATTTAGGATTCTAGCTAATTTTGAAGGAATTCTTATTTTTATTATGACATCAATTTTGTGCGAGATAGTTTAATCTGCCAGTTACCCAGACCCCAGATAACTGGAATTCTACTGTATTAAGTTAACCTGTACTACAAGGCCTCAATCAAAAAAGGGATTTCAAGATCATTTCTCCATTTTTTTTCCTTGGGACAACTTGTTCTGCCAAATTCCCTATAACAACAAATAAGCACCTGCCATGACCAGCTAAGAAATTTTTGTATGATTATTTACTTACTTCATTATCACAAGCATGGTAGAATATAGAAGCAATCATGGTAGCTGTAAACAACAGGGCCTGGGAGTATAAGTGCCTACGTGCAGCAATAATAATGGGGGGCAGAAAAAAAATATTGCTAAGTGTAAGGAGACATAAGCCAGTCAGCACAGAGGTCCAGCCCTGTGCAGATCCACCATCTTCACAGCCCCATCCTCGCCAACCTGCTGTGCAAACCTGTTGAGGAAGTTTAAAAGTAAAATTAAACTTTTAAAACAAAGAATTATGACACCAAAACAATTATAGCCAAGAGATTCAATCATCTATAAAAGCATTGCTATGAGGAAAGCTGAGAACTTATAGTAAAATAAAATTCCCTAATTGTCACTTTTCTATCTTTGTTGATAAAATTTCCGCTGAGCAACATTGTACTATACCGGTCCACCACCCCTTATCTGCAATTCCAAAATCCGAGAAGCTCTGCAAACAAAATTTTTTTTCGTGGAGCATCACTCATGTGCACGACATACCCAGAGTGATGCCGAACATGACTCGACGCCGCCAAAGCTTGGCCCAAGCAGGTGAGGCGTCAGTTGTGTCTCAGCGCTGCTACCAATCACACATGCGTCTGCTGCTCTTTGGTATTTTTTGTGATTTTGAGTTTAATTTCACTATGAAAATATAAAAAAATAGCTTCAGATACCCCTATGGATAACAGTGAGAAGAAGAAAAGGAAGCATCTCTCATTATCGGTAGAACAGAAAGTGGAGTTATTACAGAAAAGCTTGATCGTGGTGTGTCTGTGCGGCGTCTTACTAAAGAATATGGTGTGGGAACTACCACAGTATATGACTCAAGGAAACAGAAAGACAAGTTGTTGTAGTTTTACACTGACAGTGGTGACCATAAACTAATGAAAACTTGGAAAACATTGCATTGGGCAAAATGAAGATCTTGACCGTGCGCTAATTGAGTGGATTCAACAACGAAGAAGTGTACAGTACAGTACAGGTTTGCCCTAAGGACAATTATTTCTTTTACTTTTTTCAAATTATGTATTTAGCATGGTGTGTGTATGTAAATGAATAAAAATAAAAGAAGAAAGTTACATATATCTATCCAAAAATACGAGTTGAAAAACTTGTACTTAAATGTACTACAATAATGTACTAAAATTTTTATCTCTTGTGTAAAATATACGATGTCTATACTGTATTCAAATTATTCGCTGTCTTGCAAGGATTCTAGCGATGCAAGTTATATTTTCCTAACTTTAGTCTGTGATAATTTTATAAGATAAAAACTTTAAGCCTAAAACCACCAAACCCTGGCTGGGAGGATAGGGGAGGGGGAGGTGTTTTGACAGCAGGCGCCAAAGGTCTAGTGCGTATTTATTTATCTGTCTTTGAGAGCAATTCAGTTAACGGACAAAAGTTTGATTAACGAAATCTTTACGAAAAAAATTTTCTGTTGTGAGTATCAGCTGATCAGCTGATGGGCTAGTCTGCCAATTCAGTAATCTGTTCTATGTTTACATTCGTTTCCAATGGAGTAAATATCAATAAAGTTGTGCACTTGAATATTTTGGCATGTTTTATATTAAAATTATTAGTCATTTTAACATTTATTTAACATATTGATAATACAGTACTGTATATGCAGTACAGGGAACTAGTTTGTTGTGCGCTCATCAGATGCGTGAATTGGTCACAAGGCGTAAGTTGGGCTTTGAAAACAGTGGAGAGAGCATCTATTTTGTTGGTGTCTTGAATATGTGTGGTCATTCTGAACTTTAGTTAACATATTGATAATATATAGCGCAGTGCAGTGCTGATTTAAAGAAAATAATCTTGAATTACACCTAGAGAACTTAAAATTTTATTGGTGAAATTATTGCATCAAGCATGGGTCCCCCGAAAGGTGATTTCTCCTCCATCCCCACTTCCTTCTCTTCTCCCTTCTCCTCCACCCCCACTTCTAATTCCCATCATCATCATCAACCAGGAACCTTCTACATACACACCTTTCCAAACTTTTTTCCAATTGATAGCTGCACTTTTGAACTTTCTCCCTCACACCACTTCCTTTCTGAGACTTCCGAGAGACTTTCAGTGTGATGTCTAAACACAGTAGTTAGTTGATCCAGAAATAAACCAAGAGGTAGCAGTGAACAACACACGCGTTGGTGGCAGGATACAGACTGAGCGCATTTGGCACGGAATTTAACGGAATCACGTTCAATTTAGTGAACTAGTTCGTTAAATCGGGTGAAAATAATGGAAAGTCGATTTAGCGGAAATTTTGATTTAACGGAAAGGGGTGGCTCAAATTCATTCGCTAAATAAAAAAAAATACTGTACATCCTAAACATCGTAAGACTAAACTGGGGATTCTCTAATAATCATATTTTGACAAAAGTAGCTTTCTAGCTTTCCTGGTGGGTTTTTACTGAACAAAAATACCTGTAGTAAAAAATGTAATTCATACAAAAGTTAATTTTAATGTTTAGCTCAATGGTGAGGCTTTATACATACATGTGTCTGACAAATGCAAACATAGTGTAGTAATTGATATTAACCCCTTCATTCACTCCAAGGATGCCACTTTTAATATTTTATTTGGCTAACCCCAGCAGATTTTATTCAGCCCAAAGGAGGCCCATACACAAGGGGTTAGTATACTATCTCCACTAACCCCTTTGTTATGAGGGCACCACTTTTAATATTTTATTTGACAAACGCCAGACAAATTTATTCAGCTCATACACAAGGGGCTAATTCAGTAAAAATCATCATACAAGTTCACACATGTTCACAATGATGTGAAGATGAATTGCAAGAGGTTCATTATAATGTACTGTAAGTGTGGCAGGTCCAAACCATTCAGCACAATATTTAATCTGGTAAAGCAATGTACGGTACTACTGTATTCACAACAGTGTACTATCTTCTAAACTCTGTTTTATTAAGTTTTGTACAGTAAAGCCTCCGATAACAACGGTTTGACCAACAACTTTTCATATTTAAAACCCTAGTTAATTTAGGACCCAATTAAATTTACGTCCTTATTTCATTCGTATTTACGACCAAAATATAATAAAATAAAATTAAATTACATTTTCATATAAATAATAACTAAATCCTGACATTATAAAAAAAAAATAATTACTGTAAAAAAATGAAGAGCGCCTTGCACAAAGAAGCTGCCTTGCTAATGAGTGGTAAGCAACAGTCGGAACTTGGTGGGCCCTTTGTTTTCACGTATCTAGAACAGGGAGAAAAACTTTCTGAAGTTTCTTACAGCATTTTTGCATCCCTATTCAACATGAGCAGGAGAGCAAGTGATGGTAGTGTTGTTTCAAAAGCTAATAGAAAGTGTTGAAGCTTAGCCAAGAAACTATGTGTTAAAACAATATGAAAAAGGTGAGAGGTCTGTGGATATTATATGGAGCAAGCAATGAACATATTTTCTGAAGTGGATCCATTACATAACAAAGCATTAAAATTTAAATAAATGCAAATTCAGCATCATAAGCAGCTTCAACATCAACTTCAGGTTCAGTAGCAGTTTCAGCAACAGCTTTATGTAAGGCTACAGCTTCAGCCAGAGTTGAACCTGATGACTTCATTATCTGAGTAAAAACTCACACAATATTCATTGGCTGTCCTTATATTTTAGACTTTACCACCATTGGTGAATAGAATTTTAGTTTTACATTCGTAAATATTATTTAAAACATATATGAACAGCAAATAAGTGTTTTCATATTCATAAGTAGAGAAATGACGATATGTTTTCACATGTACGCACTAACTGTTCATTCGTTGGCGTTCCCAATCGTCTCGCCTTATTTCTTTACCATTGGTGGTTAGCTACTCCTAGTGTTCCATTTATTAACATTAAATAACGTTACTTAAAACATATTTATTAATTTTTTTACATTAAAATTACTACAGCTGTAAACACAAACGAAAACAATGGCGTCCCATCTCCTCTTGTGTGACCATATTATTATTCATTTATATTGTATAAGGTGCATTAAGAAACATTTTTTAAAGAATATAGTTTGCAATTTTCATTAATTGTATTGTTTTTGAGGGAAAAGAAGGTTAAAAAGCCACACAAAAGATATGAAAAGGTCACACTTGGGAACGCATCTCATTATTATTGCTTTATTTTAATGGTAATTAATGATTCACGATAAGACGATTCGCCTTACACTGTAATACTGGAGGACACATTAACGTCGTTATTCGAGGCTTTACTGTATTTTGCTGGTGGCTAACTACATAATGGTATCATACATGATACTTCTCTCAATACTCACACAGCTGGTAAAGAAGAACATTCCACGGTGGGTCTCTTGACATAAACCATTGTTGCCACATGGACTTTCACCAGCAAAGACACAAGGCTGAGTCCGGATGTCAATACTAACCAGGACTTGATCTCTAATACAGGGAGTCTTCTGCCTGTGATGGAAAAATAGATCTTTTGGTTATTTACATTAATTAAATACACTATGTAAGCATAATTGTATGTATGAGACAATATTATAGTTGGGAAGATAAAAGTGTAGAGTAACAGCAGCAGTACTGGACAAAATGGACACAAAAATAGTTACTAAAGATTTGAAGGAGACTGTAGATTTTATATCTACCAAGTGAGTGAAATTGGCTGATAAGAATATTAATGCTGATGTGATTGGACCAATTTGACTTATCATTGGATCTGATTATTGTGGATGTTTTAAACAGGGTTGTCGATAAATTTGGTGTTCAAAGTTCACCAGTGCTGAAGGGAATTGAATATTAGATCCTGTATCATTCATTAAACCTGTTGACTTTGATAATAAGTGAGTAAATCCGGTACAGTATTTGTAACACCACAAGTTTACATGGTTGTCTGAAATGGGACAGAAGTGGTACCCCCCAGAAATTACAGAAATAATGGAGGAAAATACTGAACCAATTCACAAGCTTTGAGATTTAGAAGCCATAGGAATAATCCCTGATCAACCTAACTCCTGAAGATACCATCACTGATGAACATTATTTTAAGACAATGAAAACTGAAATTGAATGTCCGTAAATTATCCACTAACTATAGAGATGCTAAGGGACAAATCCAAACTTTATTAAATAAACTACAGAAGAGATGCGATATACTTCATCATTATGATAGTGATTTTGTGGGGAAAGTCCCCGGGATGGTGAATCTGAATGTAGATCATTACCTATCTCATAATGTAGTGAGTGAAGATTCAGTTACTACTCCTATAAGGGTAGTATTTAATTGCAGCTCTCAAGCTTCCAAAGATGTACCTCATTTAAACAATTCTTTTTATATGGGACCTAATCTAATAGAGAAATTAGAAGATGTATTGCCCAAATTTAAACTAAAAAATATGGCTACATTTCAGTGACATCTCCAAGGCCTTTCTCAGAGTAGAACTATGGGAACAGGATAAAGATTTTACTAGATTTCTCTGGCTCCCAAATCCTCATAACTTAGATAGTCCATTGACTACATATCACTTCAAATCACTACTCATTAGACCATGTTCAAGTTCATTTTTACTGTGCAGTGACCTGCAATATCATTTTAAGGATGCTAAATGTCCAGAAATAGGACAGGTGTTTTGCATGCATAACCTGCAAGGGGGGTACCTACTGACACAGAAGAGGAGGCTATGAGAATTTATCATTTTGTAGAAACTCTGAGAGACAATTTTCTATTCCAACATGTTAAAGATCCGGCTCATTACAGAAGGGACCAAACACCCAAACCACTGGATCACATCAAAACTAACGAAGAGGGTATGGTGGCCAAGCTAAAACACCAAGCCCCCCGTTGGTACCAGTCACCACATAATGTTTTCCTTCAGATTTAACTGTTACTTGATTCAAGACAAAACCAGGCCAAGGTTCAAATATTACAAGGGTAATTATGACGAGATAAGGGGTATTCACTGGCCTGACTCACTAAGATATAAAAAAGCAGACACTATGCTTAATATCATAGCCAGTAAAGTAAACAATTTGATCAATAAATATGTACCCAAGACCAAATCCAGCGCCTCCAGGAATACATGGAGACCGTTACACATGAACCATGCAACGGTCAACAAAGTTAAGAAGAAAATTCAGAAATTTGAGACAGGGGTTAGGACAAATGATGAGCAGGACAGTAGGATGTATGCCAGATCCAGGAACCAAGCAAAGTCAGAGTGGAAGGGCTGAAAAAAGAGTCCCATAGGCAGATTGCGAGCGAGGTCAAGTCAAACCCAAAGGTGTTTTACCACTAGGCAAAGTCGAAATAAAAAATGCGAGAAGGCGTATCGGACCTGAGGCGCGACGATGGTAGTCACGAGAATTCTGACCAGGACAAGGCGGAGGCGTTGAACAGATTTTTAACTTTTAGTAACAAATAATACCTCAGACTAAAGTTAGGATAATATAATTGACATTGCTGGATTCCTTGTAAGACCAGGAACATTTTGAATATAAATGTCATATATTTTGCACAAAAGATAACATATTCACTCAGAGTAAACATTACATCTAAAATTTGTATGTCTAATGCAAAATCTATGATGTTTATATTCAAAATGATCATCAAATTGTAAGAATTCCAGCAATGTAAATTATATTCTGGCCGGGTAATTTGTATGAAGTTTTATGAGCTAAAACAAATATCTTCAGTTAATAAAAAAAAATATATATTCTTCACACCGTGCCAGATGGTCGGTCGGTCCCTCCCTACCAGATGTGTGGGAAAACCAGAATATTTACCTTTTTAGTTATAAATAATACCTCAAACTAAAGTTAGGATAATATAATTGACATTGCTGGATTCCTTGTAAGACCAGGAATATTTTGAATATAAATGTCATATATTTTGCACAAAAGATAACATATTTACTCAGAGTAAACATTATATCTAAAATTTGTATGTCTAATGCAAAATCTATGATGTTTATATTCAAAATGATCATCATATTGTAAGAATTCCAGCAATGTAAATTATATTCTGGCCGGGTAATTTGTATGAATTTTATACCTGTATATAAAAAGCAAAAGCACATATTTACCCTTTGTGATAGCAAATTGTCTGGAGAGCCAAGAACCACACATCAGGTTCTGGGAATGGAATGAGTATGAAATCTTCTACAGTAGCTCTAGAGGAGGAGGTGACGTTGAGGGTGAGCTGTGGCTCCCCACAAATGAGTGTATCATTTTTAACATCTGGAGGGCGACCTTTTCTCACACAACCTGTGACTGTTATAAGCTGATGGGTCGCATTCTGAAAAAGAAATTTCATTGCAAAGTATTGGACAAATGGTGAATCCAGAATTAGCCCCATGCAAACTTGCTTTAAAAAAATCTTTGTCATTTGTTTTTCTGATAAATGCAAAAGCAACTAAATGCATTAAATGTAAGCTTGTTAAAAAATTCGGCACTTAAAAGCTCTGTGGACATTGAATGATATCGTTTGGCACCTGGAGATGCAAAGCTCTATGACTTTTAAGACTAAATTGTTCATATTTTGGCAGTGAGAAGCTCTGTGAACAAGAAGCCTACATAAGTTAAGAATTTTGTCATAAATGGAAGATTGAACATAAATAGTGACTTATATTTAAAGTAGTTTAATTTTCTATGGTGTCAAAGACTGCTGACATCTCTTTTGAGCTGCTAAGAGCTGTTAATTCGTTTAGTTTACCTTTTGGCTGGAAGATGGCTTGCTTAATCCCTATATTGTTCCTTATGAGTTTACCCTTCACAGTTTCAGAAGGGCAACACTGGACAATACTCTTCTCACACCCAACACAGGATCGAACCCAGGTTGCAGTAATTAGAGGCTTGCATGTTACCACTGCACCACCTTCCAGCAACAAATAGAGCCCTAAAGGAGCTTCCACAAAAATATCAATACAGGTATCCCTTGTTTAGCATTAATTCACTTTACGTTAATTCGGTTTAGTGATAAATAAATCTTGACACCCTTTCTCACTTAACTTTAGGTCAAAATTCAGTTTAACAACAGCTTCTCACTGGGATGGGGAAAAACTGAAGATGAGGTGGCCTATGAGATGGCATGTTGCCACTGTTAAATGTGATGAAACTAATAAGGTTGTGGAAAATAATTACAATATTCTAATGTGGTTTAGAAATAAAGAAAATATAATATAAAACTATAAAATCTGAAAATGAAGAGCATTGGTGTGTATGTGTGGGAAGTGATTGGATGTGTGGAGGCAGTGGACTGTAACTGCATCACCGAATGGCAACCCAGTCACACTCTGCTTTCCCCCGATGTGACATCACAGCACATACACACACACACACACACACATGCATGTATGTATGTATGTATGCATGCACACACACTACATTCTTGACCACCGGAGGGTCAAGACCTATGAGGCGCCTGTCCTTGCTGTGGAGCTGCCCCCAGCCAATGTTGGCCCTTTTCTCAAATCCCTCTCCCTGACCCATCCTCACCACCGGGATATCAACATAATCCCGCCAAAAGTGACAATTTCGTTTCGGAAAGAAGTGGGATCAGTGTTGAACAGTGATGAACAGTGTTTAAGCAAGTGAATTCAGCACTAGACAGTACCAGCGAGAGCCGTGACCCACCAGTGAGATCCACACCCAATGATAAGCACCCCTGGGAAACGACCACCATCTTCTGACCAGGCGGTGTTAATGAGTCCACTCTGGGAACAACCGTGAATCAGCTTTACACCTGACCATAAAATAACACAACACCCCTTAGCAGAGAGTGAGGTACTGTGACACCACCCCACACAACACGGTGTCTACATGACCACATGAGGTCCTTCATATATATATATATATATATATATATATATATATATATATATATAATCACTCTTTTGTACTCACCATCAGTAACTCGTCCAAGAGTATGTTTACACTCAAAGTTCCACCAATGTCTGTAAAGGGCAGGAGTGTAAGATACGTGAAGACCGGCAAGTCTCTCTGTACTGACAACCATGTACTGTACCAATCTGGCCCCTGTAAATTATATACTTGATATTATATGCAAGCTGTTAATGCCTTAATAGTTATGCAAAAAGATTTATACTAAAGAAAAGAGTAACTGCACAGCATGGAGGAAAATGGACAAATTGAGTGCAATACACAAGAAAATTGAGCATAGACATGAAAGACAGAGAGTGTATATAAAGGAAAATACAAGGAATTTGGAAACTTTGACTGTACTGTATTCTAAAATCATATGAAATACTCAAAGTAAATAAAAATGTCCTTCAACTTCTTTCTTGGTATCAAAATTTGGTCAGAAGGATGAAGGTTTTAAGTCTTCTATGCCACATAAACACATGTATACTCTTTAACATAGGATGAAGTAAGAATTCATTTAGCAATAAAAAATGCTTTAATGAACTCTTTTCACAACATACCATATATACTCATGTATAAACTCATCTCATATACAGTTCGACCACTGATTTATGGGGTAAAAAAGCCTGAGTTTTTCATATATCTCTTGTATATTTTGATCCTAGTTTTTGAGAAATACTAGGTATAATCCTAGACATAATTTGTAGCAAGACATTCGCACTAACACATCTTGGCCGTGACCACGACCGCAACAGTTGATGCTATGAACAGTGTTACCAACTCTGAAACTGAATTCCCATCAACAGTTATCAACTCCTATAAGGAATAGGATAAAATAATATATTATACAGTAAACTTAATAGGTAGTAGGCAGTTACCAAACAGGGAGGTACTACCGCCCAGGAAGATATTGGAAGCATAATGTATTGTCTAATGATAGACCCTGCTGCCATATGTTTCTCACTTTTGATTTTTTTTGTTTTCAATTTAGTTTTCTTTATGGTTCTTTATTATTATTATTATTATTATTACAGCTCCTCCCCAACTTACGACCAACTCGACTTATGGCCACCTGCACTTACGACCGCCTCAGTTGTACCAAAATTTTGTCAAATTATGTATTTTCGAGTCCCAACGTCAGTACACAGACAAAATTTTCGTTTGTAATTCACTTTAAAATGGCTGGCAAGCTTAAAAGTGAGAGTTTTGTGGTGCTGAGAAGAAAAAGACACCCATTTTAGATTTTTTATGAATTATTTAAGCATTTTCAACTTATGACCATTTTGACTTACGACCTGGATATGGGTCCCTAACCCCGTCATAAGTCGGGGAGGAGTTATATTATTATTATTCTTACAGTGTTTTTATTATTATTATCATTCTTATTTTATTTTCAATTTTGTATTTTGTATTATAAATTTTATTTACTATGAATTATTATTATTATTTTTATTAATATTATTATTACATTTTTGCCCCCCAGGCCCCAATGTGGGTCAGTGACCTGTGCCCAGGTGGGCTAATCCCTGTAAAAAAAACACTTATGACCACGGTAATCCTACTTTTGTGTGTATCTTAGATAAAAAATATTAAATTTGCAATAAGGTAAACTTTTCATATTCTTGAACATGTGTCTGACTCATAAAGTTCCTGTATGTGAAGTTATATACTACAGTATAATTAAATAAGAAAGGTTTAGTATACAGTATTTCATAGCGGATAAGGCGACCTTCAGATAAGACGAGGCCCAAATTTCAGTCTAAATTTCATGGCTTTAGATGATATCTGTGTTATAAGATGACTCCCCAAACTACCAAACCACCTGTGGTAAAGTTTTGGTCAATGACCACCAAACCACCAATACAATGATATGTTTAATGCATTAAATACTTTAAATGATTAATGTATTACTAGTAACTCATTTGAATTATGGTAAATACTATGTGAAGACTATCTTTGGTATTGGTATGTTAAGGTCGATGACCATATTGTTTACATACCTAAGTGTCGTGGGGACGCAGTCAACCTTGAATCAGCTGCACCACTCAATGTGCTGTGTGATTTTGTTATCAAAGAATGGAATAAAGTGAAAGTAGAGAATGAAATAAAATGTTTCAAAAAGTGCAGTATGTATCTCTAACGCACCAGATTCGGACTGGGACCCCTACGACGACAACGTAAAGAACGAGACTCAGGATGTGTATGACGAGCTCTTTGCTTCAGACAAAGAAGCTTGTAAATTTGATGAATTTTAAATGTACAGTAAACCCTCGATAACTCAGCACATACGGGGTTCTGGCCTTGCCGAGTTATCCCAAATTTCAACTTATCGAGGCACTTCCCCCCTCCGACAAAACTACAACAATAAAAAATTTCCAACCCAAATGTGTGTACATGTAATTACTAAATGTAAAAAAATAACACTTACCAGCACTGCAGGTGAAGAATGAAGCATTATAGTAGGTGACACAGAGGTATGGTAGGTGACACAGACGCATGGTAGGTGACACAGAGGCATGGTAGGTGACACAGAGGCATGGTAGGTGACACAGAGGCATGGTAGGTGACACAGAGGCATGGTAGGTGACACAGAGGTATGGTAGGTGACACAGAGGCATGGTAGGTAACACAGAGCATGGTAGGTGACACAGAGGCATGGTAGGTGACACAGAGGTATGGTAGGTGACACAGAGGCATGGTAGGTGACACAGAGGAATGGTAGGTGACACAGAGGAATGGTAGGCGACACAGATGCATGGTAGGTAACACAGATGCATGGTAGGTGACACAGAGGCATGGTAAGTGATGCAGGTGGCCAGATATGCTGAGATTTCCCAGATAATTTTACATATCTTGACATTCCCGATTTATAATAATAGATTCTGAGACCATATCCATGTTGAGTTATATGAAATTCCAAGTTATCAACTGCCGAGTTATTGATGGTTTACTGTACTGTATATGATTTTTTTTACAATATTTTCATTGGTTTAAAAAAAAAATTTTATTTTTATTTTTTTTAACGGAGATTGGCCCACCTGGTCACAGGTCAATGACCCATAACGGGGCCTAGGAGGCCAAAAAATAAGAATAGAAAGAAATTAAAAATAGAAAAGGAAAAGGTTTTATTAATCTACAAAACGAAGATGCCAGAAAACCAGCTTTTCAAAGTGAGACAGATTGTATGAGTATGGAACACAGAAGAAGGCAGAGCATTCCACAGTTTGGCTGTGTGAAGAAAGAAGGAGGTACTATAACGGGTTATTTTCGTGTGACCGACATCCAGAGAGAAACGGAGGTGGGGTTTGTGAACTTTCAAAGAAGGAATTCGCTTTAAGTCGTTTGGTAATGGTAAGATGAATATGCCATTCAGTTCAACTTGCTGTGTCCAGTGCTACCAGGGATAGTTTGCCACGAAACATCGACTCCTTAGAGAAAGAAGCTTACAACTGGTTCATTCATTCTTCAAAGAGACAGATAGCATAAAACAAATATACAGTACTCTGGATCACGGAAAGTAACCCCTCCAAATAACCAGTGCCTGTGACACATGCTGGTTGTCAATTGAAACTGCTGTCACTTGTATTCTTTCTCAATGGGATGAGCTCAAGACGCACTTCAGTATATCTAGGAGTTCTGAAAACTATTTTCATGCAGAAATGTTATTCCAAATGTACTCTGATCCGGTGAACAAGCTGTACCTTTTGTGTTTACGATCAGTGTTAAAAGACGTTCAGAGAGTAGTGAAAACATTTAAAAGTGAAAATTATGACACAACAAAGCTACATCTTGATCTTGTGAGTCTTGTCCAAAAATTAGTCAAAAGTTGGTACTTACAGCAACAAGAGTAGATCCATTAACCACTCCTATTGTTGACTATGTTGATCCTATGGAGTATCTAGGATATGAATTTGAAAAACAGTGCAAGGAAGCAAAACTAGATACTGATGCAGAAAAATTTTTACTTCAGAGATGCATATCATTCATCTAAAACTCACTCATCAATTAAGAGAGAAGCTTCCTAAGAATTTCCAAGTAATAAAACAAAAGTCAATGTTTTCTGTTGAGATGTGCACAAATCAAATAAAAGAACCCATAATGAAACTTGCTAAGTGCTTGTGCTTTAAGCCATGCAAGATTGAAGATATTGAGAGTCAGTGGAGAAATTTGGCTGTAATAAAGTGGAATAACTTAACATCGACAGTAGATTTATGGATCGAGGTTAAACAGTCCACAGACTCTGCTAGTACAAAGCCCTTTAAAGAACTTTCTTCACTTGCAATGAGCTTGCTATCCCTTCCACACTCAAATGCAGAAGTAGAGAAACTTTTTAGTCAAGTGAATCTCGTTAAGTCAAAGTTAAGAAACAGACTCAGCACGAACAGTGAGGTGTGGCTTAAAGCAACTGGGGAAAAGTTGCAGCACATATGAATTTTCAAGTGATGTGTTGAAGGCAATAGGCACAAACCTGGCATATTTGCCCAGAAAAGAAGACTCAGTGCCTGGGGAAGCCAAAACAAGCTGCAGTTCACAAAAGGAACCTAATAAGGAATTAGAAGTAACTTTTTGTTTATAAGGGTAAGTAAAGTGAAATAGTAACAGTTAATACTGTATACTTACATTAATATGTTGATGGGTGTATATATTTATCCTGTATTCAGTACATTGTAATTCATTTTATTATGCATATTTTCATGTAATGTATGTATGAATGAATTCGTATATATTGAGTTATGTATTCTAGGTTCTAAGGTCTAGCGCTTTTTGCTGTAAAAATATATAGTTTTAGCGAATGTATTGCACGTTCTGGGTTGGATGAGTTGGTAACAATGGTTGTATATACAGTACTAAAAAAACTCAGAAGTTAAAAAATATTCACACCACTGCCTTTCCTTCACTCAATCTGTATTCTTCACATTCATATGCACACAAATTTTATTAGAAAGAATTCAGAATTGTTTTAACAACTTTTTTTGAAAAGCAAAATAAATGGAAAAGCAGTTATTTTACTTCTTCCATATAGGAATTTCAAACCTCTTTAGCAAATCTGATATGCATGTAAATGCAGTGAATGTAATTGCTGAAACATTAATAAACAGACAACTTCATAAAAACAAAAAATAGAACCATACCTGTATTAAAAAGGTGTCAGTAAAATCACTGGCATGCTTGATGCGAGCCAGAGGCAACACAGGGTAACACTGATGACCCACGGCAGCAAAGTCAGCATCCAGTATAGGAGGAGACTCATCAGGTAAGTGAGACAAAACAAGTGGAGATTCATTTGTTATATTAGGCCACATTTCTTCCCAGTCCAACATCTTTGATGATTCATGCTGGGAGTTACCATAATCTTCACTAGTTGAAACCGATACAGTAATATTTATAGGTGTGGCCGTCCCAACAAACTCCATCTCTTGTTTAGAAGATACTTCAGTATATTCAGATGCTTTTACATCTCGGATATGAGGCCAAAGCTTTTTGAAGGCACTACCACATTCTGAAATATCATTATAAACTTAGATAATATTGAATCTAAATATACTGTTTTAAATGTTCTGTAAACACTAAGTAAATCATGGAAAAATACACAGTATTAAAATAGGAACAGACCAAGTACAAGCAAAAAAAAATCATCCATTAGGAGAGCCAGTTGATCATGAGTTATTACGTGCTGTTAAACCAGTCATCCCCAGCCCTGTGACCTGGATCACAGTACTGTGACCCAAACCACCTACTAGTGTGACCCGTAAAACTACAGTGGCCCCTCGGTTAACGAACACAATTCGTTCCAGAAGGTCGTTCGTTAACCAAAAATTTCGTTAATCGAAACCATTGTTTCAATGGAATATTGGGTAATTGGTTCCAGCTCACAGAAAAGTATATACAAAGTAAAGCCAAAAATGCATAAAGTCAGAAACACTCCTAAAATTCCCCTAAATCGCCCTTAAATCACTGCAGTATAGTCTGGATTTACGCGGTTTTGGTCAACGCGTTTGGTCATTTACGCGGTGCCTTGCCAGAATTGAGGAGGAGGGTGTGGAGATGAGGACCAACTGCTGTAGGGGGCATGACCCTAAAAAGATGAAGAGCCACTGTTTTAGAGTAACTGTGACTCAAACATTACCTATTGAATGTTACACAAAAAGTCATTCCTAATGGGTAAATGTACAGTCAACTAACAAGGTACTGTACTATATGCCTGTATATTAAAAAAAATATGCAGTGATATTACACAAAGTTAATGGAGAGAGAGAGAGAGACTCTTCTTACCTTTTGTGCGAACAGTAATATCTATGCCAGTCTCTCCTTCAGTTACAACCAAGAGATAATAATAGCCATCAGAATATGGCCTCAATTCAGTAAAAACATGACTGTCTCCTTGTGTTATATTGGCTACCCCAACATCTGGGTTATATGCTGGAAGAGACCTGGCATTAAAGGCAAGGGATCGAATGCACCATCTAAAAAGCCGCTCTCCTGTATCCTGGTTAATAATTTGTTCAAGTATATGGCAGTTAGAGACATTGACTTGCAAAAACCAGGTGTGAGAAGGAACATAGAACCTGTTAAAGAGAAAGAAATAGATTAAAAACATTTAAGAAAACTTGCATATTAATGTCAACAGAGAGCCTAAGACTTTGATGTTTTGTTCATTTTAACTTCATAAAAAACAAATATGCCATGAATGTGCTTCAATAAATAATTAATAAAAAAAATTATACTGTATTAATACATTATATTTACCAATAATCATCACATCTCTTAAGAGTTATTTTAGACAGTTCTTTCTTGGAGTTAAAAAAAAAAAAAAACATATTTGACACCTTTCCACAAACTGGAAAGAAACAAAATAAGATACAGATCTGCAGACTCAGTATCACTGTACTCACCTATAATATGAAAGGTTTTCATGAGTTCTAACTGACTGTTTTATTCCTATGTTTAGAGTTTGAATGTGATCCTTCTGACTCCACATTGCAATAGATCCCAGACTGTAACGGCACTTGTGTATAATGCCCTGGAAATAAAAAAATACTTGAAATTTTTCTCTTGTACTAGTGTTGAGAAACCTGTTAGTTACAATGTGGGGACTAAATTGTTCATATAATTCCCATTGGCATGGGATGCTCATTTGGGGAATTTATCCTAGGCAGAAAGTACTGCAAAAATGCTCTTCAAAAAAAATTGGAGTTCTACTTTTATAATGATTTTTAAAGTTACTCTGAAGTCAATATCTTTCATGCCTATTTTCTTTTCACTTTTGCAAAATCTACACATAATTGAAAAATATTTCCAATATATCTATTAAAAACTTTACACTGAATGTTTCCTAATAGAAAAACTTCATCCTCTTTCTTCTCTGAGCCCATACTACTCTTACCCTAATATGTTCTGTTATTGTAAAAATTTGCTCAATAATGACTACAATACATTTTCCCTGGTATACTTAACAAAATTATTCCTCAAGAATTTTGTTTTTATTCTCCTGTTCCTTCCCATCAAAAATGAAAAATTATATTTGCTCTTAACCCGCTTGGAGTCAATCACAGATATATCTGTGATGAAATGTTCCCAGTACTCTCTGGTCTTACATGCATTACAAATAGCTTGATTTTTATGCAGTGTTTCAAGCACCTTTAGGCCTATGATTTGGCAAAACTGTCAGCCCAACCATGCTACCACACACAACAGGACCATACTTCAGGAGTGTAGAGGGTGAGCATGGGGATGAGTCATTACCCCCACATGTGACTGCCACCCACGTAAAGTCCCAGACAAAAGTTCTCACAACAGTCAAGGTGGATGGTGTAAAGTCCGTTCACCCTTACTGGATGAGGGGTTGCTGTCCAACCATTGCCTACCTCCCACCCTCCAAAAAAAAACAACACACACACACACACACATCCTTGACCACCGAAGGGTCAAGACGTACCTGGCGCTCCTCTCGGAGCAGCCAGGTCAACTGTTATGTTGGCCCATACCAACTCCCTCCCCTGAACCCTCCTCCCCACCGGAATATCAACAAGTTCTCGCCAGAAGTTACAATTTCATTTAGGAAAGGAATGGAACCAGTGTTAAACAGAGGTGAACAGTGGTAAACAGTGCTTAAGTCAGTGAAAACAACTCAACAGTAACAGTCGTACCCAAGTTAACCTTCACACAGTGAGGTCCCAGGTACCCAGTGATAACGGCCCGTGAGACCCAACAACAACCGCCGATGTGTTAATCTGTCTACGATAGGAAGGCCTGGGACCACACTTCACTCGTATAACACCATCTGTGAGGGAATTACTACACCATGTGAGGTCCCTCATAACACCATATGTGAGGGAATTACTACACCATGTCAAGTCCCTCATAACACCATCTGTGAGGGAATTACTACATCACATCAGGCCCCTCATAACACCATCTGTGAGGGAATTACTACACCACGTGGTCCCTCATAACACCATCTGTGAGGGAATTACTACACCACGTCAGGTCCCTCATAACACCATCTGAGGGAACTACTACACCACGTCAGGTCCCTCCTAACACCATCTGGAAGAGAGTTACTGTACCACGTCAGGTCCCTCATAACACCATCAGGGGAATTACTACACCACGTCAGGTCCCTCATAACACCATCTGAGGGAACTACTACACCACGTCAGGTCCCTCCTAACACCATCTGGGAGAGAGTTACTACACCACGTCAGGTCCCTCATAACACCATCTGAGGGAACTACTACACCACGTCAGGTCCCTCCTAACACCATCTGGGAGGGAGTTACTACACTACGTGTTTGCTGTTCAACACCTACATTAATCTGTATGTTCACTGTATGTTCCTTTACCATTCCCTAATGAAGGCTTTTGTTAAGCCACCAATGTATGTAATAAGTCATTTATGTCCAATGTATATTTTCAGCCTTCAGGCTGCAGAACTTTTTCAATAAACCATTAATTAACACACACACACACACACACACACACACACACACACACATGCACACAATACTGAGTGCGGCTGGATCTGACCTAACCTGACTTGACCTCACGGCTTCACCTGACCTAACCTGAAGGATGGAGCACACCTGCATTGCCCCAAGCTACTGTCCTGGCCACGTGGCCACACACCTGCCAAACCACATCCAGCCCATAAGAGCACGAACTGATTGCTATAAGAACAGCCCAGTCTCAACCATTGTAAAAATTATCAACACCTAATTATTATATACAGTATCATATTTGCATCACTTATTTTACTTGTATATCATTTGTAAATCAAGAGACCCATTCCCCAATTATGTTATTGTATATTTTCAGCCTTCCGGCTGCCATGCTCTTTCAATAAACAGCTAATTATTATTATTATTACACACACGCACCCTCACAGTTTAACAATCGAGCTCTGATACTTCCATTTCTCAATAAAGACTATGGAAGCATGTCATAGGAACATAAGAACATAAGAAAATATACTGATGTCGAATATCAAAGGGTGGCTCATCAGCATCAACTAACAGACTTAGGATTAGCTAAGATCTGAAGGCACCGGTCACCAGGCACATCCCAACATGATGAATAGAGTTCAGTGTATCGAGTCTAGCTGATGAGTACACCTCACATCCATAATCCAGTTTGGATCTAACTAGCATGTGGTAAAGGTGCAGCAGAGTTCCTTAGTCAGCACCCCACGGTGTGTGCCCCAAAACTCTCATTAACTTGAGAGCACACTGGCAAGAAATCTTTGAGGTAACGAATATGTGGCTGCCACATAAGACGGTTGTCGAAGTTAATGTCCAGGAAATGAGTCTCTGTGACACATCACACATAACAACCCTAGAGCTGTAGATCAAGATTTGGGTGAACACCTCCAAGGCGCTTGAAATGCATGGCAACGTTCTTCAAGGAGAAAATCTGAAGCCATGCTCTGTGGGCCAATGTGAAACCTTGGTCTAGTGCAACTTGCATGCAATGTTCAGCCACTGACATCAACATAGAATGAGATTGATGCACCTCCTGGAACTGATGCTGCTACCCCATTTATTGCCATGGCAAAAAAGGTCACATTCAAGACACTGCGGTGAGGAGCCCTGTCCTCCTGATTATGTGTTGCTGACATTTCTGAAGCAACACAGACTGTAAAAGTGCAACGTCCCAAGAACTGACCCATTATTGATGATAAATTTCCCCGCATCCAAAATTGCGAAGCTCATTTAGGATGCTGAATCTCCAAGCTGTGTCATATGCTTTTTCTAGGTCTAAAAAATGCAGAAGAGACAATGACAACGAGAAAAGGCTTCAGACTGAGGACTCCAGACGAACAAGTCAAGAACTCACCACCTCAGGGAGACCTCTACTAGGAGGCTACTATCTTGCTGGGTGGATATTTTGTGTTCTCTTCTATAAAGTGTTTCTATTTACCTGTGAACATCAATAATGTCCAGGTCCATTACAGACTGGCTTTCCATGGTATGGAGCCCTAGATATCTTGCAAAATCTATAATAAATAAATAAAGGTTGCCCCTTGTGTAACGAGGATGGCCGGTCGTAGAGCCACCTAGGCGTGAATTTGTTTAAGGTGTAGAAGCTGTCGCCAACACAACAACCACACCCTGAGTTAACGAGCTGCATGACTCAGTGTCAAGGAATACTCCGAGAAGACCGGACAACTCGCCAACTGCACTGGCTAACCATTACCCCGGAATACGATCCGCAAATCGATTAACATCCAGGTCCCCAATTACTGCTGGGTAGACAGAGGTAAATGGCGTAAAGAAACTTGCCCATAATTTCACCCTGCCCGGGGATCGAACCTGGGTCCACTCGCTTGCAAGGCAAGCATGCTGACCATTACACCACAGGGTCTACCTGCTTGAACACACCTGGTAAGATCTCACTGGCAGAAGCATCATGGAAAATGTCAGGACCAGTGGGCCTCCTGTGGCTCTTATACTTGGGCATTTGACAGGACCCAGAGTCACCTTTTTTTTAATCTGAGAGGGCTGTAATGTAGCAATTGATTATCCAAAGGAGGGTCCAGGGATGGGTGCAGGGTCATCAAGGGTGTATCTGGCCAATTATTGGAGTTTGTTTTGTCTACACAAAAAACAATATAATTTGACTCTCCCCATCCACCTTCCATTGAGCTCAACAAGGGGAGGTCAATGCCAGAGATAAGACCCTGGTGACCCCAGCGGAAGCGGGGAGTATATGGGGGTAACCACCAGGTGGCCTAGACAGCAGCTCCTAGACCATGCTTCACCCTAGCCACACTGTGACCAGCCAATTGACTTGATCAGGCCCAACCAAGCTGCCCATATACAGTAGCTGGAATAGAGGACCAAAGAGATGTGTTGCTAGCCGCAGGGCACTCAACCTCCAGGACTCCCGTCTCTAGTATTATGGGTTGCCACACACGGCAAATATGTGGGAGAGTATTAAAGCCTCATTGGCTCTGGGCTTGGGACACCTTTGTTGACTCCTAAATTACCAAAATAGTATTAGAAAATATGCAATACAGGGTACAGTACAAGGTTTTTTAAAAGACAGGACTACATAAACTACAGTGTCTCAATTTATGATGAGTCCCCAAAATTAAATTCCATGCCCATGAGAATACACCAACCTTATATGACTACTAAATACTGTATACTAATGCCTCTCTAGCTCAGATCTCCTACACTACAGATCCTCTACTGGTTAGATAAGAGAAATAGAGGATTGATCCTGAAATTCTGTTATATAGCCAAGTAACTATATACAATAGTACTGAAAGCAAGTCTTGGGTTGAAAAAACAGGCTCCAGGGCTATAACTTGTGATTGGCATCTAAAAATGAAACAATCTAAAATTAAATCCAATTCATAGGAAAGTACACTAAAAAGTTAAAATTTTTGCTGTTCACACTAACAAGAGAGGCTTCAATCAATTCATTTGCTATGCTGATATTGGCTATAAAACACACTATCCAGATCAAAAGCTTCAGATCCAAATCAACTGATCTCCTGGAAGGAGGGATAATAAGTTG